TCTCCCTTCCCCCATTATGCATAAATTGATTAAGTCTTTCACTTTTTGCCATTGTTGATGGCACGTGTGCTTAAAAGACGAGTTTTGGTCATGGGCCCAAGGTTAAAATCTTCGCGGCGCCATACCTCTTGACTCAAACATAGGTGGCTTCGGCCACCTTCCTCTCTTGGCCTCTTGCTGTGGTGCTTCTTTCTTTTTCTTCTTCGTTGCGGTGTCTTTTTTTTGAGCAAGGCCTTGTGTTTTAGTTGTCGCTGTGTGCTGGGGCGGTACTGCCGCTGCTGGCGAGCGGTACTACCGCTGGAAGCGGTACTACCGCTCCCAGCGCGGTACTACCGCGGTGGGGCGGGGGTCAAGGGTATGTATAGGGGCAGGGGAGGTTTCTTCCTCCCCATACCCATTACCCCCTCGTGCCTCTCTCTCTCTCCAGCACTGTTCCGGCGAGGAAGGGCTCCGGTGGATCTCCTCCTCCGGGGCATCCCTCTCCATTTCCTTCGGTGGAGTCGATCCCCACCTCGTCCTCTTGCAATGGATGCCGGTATTGCCCCCGTTCCTTCTCTCTTTTGGTCTTGTGTTTAGATCTTGTGCTTTAGGGGCAATGTTGGTTGCATCTCTAGATTTTTGGCTAAATCTAGGCTTGAGTTAGTTGGAGTAAGCAACTAGATCATTGAGTTTGTTGTTTGGTAGGATTATGTTTGAATTTGGTAGGCCGGTAGTGCCGGATCTGTCCACGGTAGTAGCAGGCCACTGTTTCATGGTGGAGGTTCCGCCCCACGCTTTGGAACTGCTGTGCATCCGCCTCAAGCGGTACTACCTCTCCCCTGGAGCGGTACTACCGCTTGACCTCGTGCGGTACTACCGCTCCCTCTGGGGCGGTACTACCGCTCGGGGCGGTACTACCGCGGTTAGGGCACGGTACCACCGCTGCATGCCCACTTCCATCATTCTCCTACATTGCATTTGATTTGTTTGTTGGCTTATGCTCGTCTCCTCTGTTTGTTTTGCGTCCTTTGTGTGTTTTGGCTCCAGGTGATGACCCTACTGAGCAGCATGGTCGCCGTATCAACCCTGGACGTGCCACCTCCAAGCGTTACCGGACCTCAGAGCCTGCCGGTGTTTCTTCCAGCACTCAACCGCCTCCAGCGCGGGCTTCAGCAAGTGTTCCTCCTCCTCCTCAGCACCAGAAGCGACCCGCCAACAAGCCAAAAGGGAAGACTGTGACCGAGATGACCAACAAGGAGTTCTGGGAGAAGCGTCGTCGCAACCCCTATACCGAGGATCAAGATTCCTCTTTGGTCAACCGCCCGTTCTGGAACCGTTTTCAGTTTGCCATCTTCTTTGATGTGATCAAGGCCAAGAAGAATCTGTTTGTTGCTGTTCGCTCTATTGACGTTGATGCCATGGAGAAGGATCCAGAGTACTTTGGGGAAGCCCTTCAGATGTGCACCCAGCTGAACATTCTCAACATCATGCAGTTCAACAAGGATTTCGATGCGGATCTGTTGGCTCAGTTCTTTGCCACCGTTCACCTTGGAACAGATAGTGACCGGACCCTGACCTGGATGACCAATGGCAAGCTGCTTTCTGTCAAGTGGCGGGCGTTCATGGAGTTGCTTGATGTGGTGGATGACGGGCTTGAGACTCCAGTCGGTTTCCGTCCTCACCGCCATGATACCTCCACCCATAAGCAAGCCCTTTGGCCCTACTGCACTGTCAAGACCCACCCTGTCACTGAGAAGAAGACCTACGAGCTGTCTCCGTATCTGGACATTCTTCATCGTATCTTCCGTGAGACTCTCTTCCCTCGCATTGGGAATCTGGATATTGTCCACTCTTATCTCGTGGACATGCTTCTTTTCTGTCAGCATGAGAAGGATGCCAACACTGGAGAGAGCCTGGATATCTCTCATGTCATGTGGTCTGAACTTGTCTCCGCCGTGTCTGAGCGCAAGTGTCCTATCTATGGCCCCTTCATCATGAGGCTCATTGAGCGGGCCTGGGCACAGACCTACCCCAGAGTGTTGCTTGAGACTGGAGATTTAGTTTCCCATGAGGTCAAGCGTCTGAGGAAGAAGGACAACTGGTCTGCACCTCACACAGGGGGTCCTTCTACTGCTGCCACCGGGGGCCCGTCTGGCGCTGCTACTGCCATGGACACTGAGGGTGGGGATGCTCCTCCTGGCCATGATGCGGACCTTGGCCACTCCAGTACCGAACCATCATGGGCTCAGAAACTCAAGCGCAAGATGAAGAAGCTCTTCTGTCTGGAGTCCCATGGTCAGTATATGACTCATGTGGCGGAGAAGAATGCCAGGTCGCGCCACAAGGAGCTCATGCGCCAGCTGGGCGCCACAGTTGTCAGTGGATCCGAGGGACAGATCACTGAAGAGGAAGACTGGATACATCAGAACTGCCACTGGACCGACTCCGATGCCGAGCAGTTCTCTCCCCACGGCGCAGATGCAGAGATGTGATGATCACCTGGAGTCGTAGTGTCTCTCTTGACCTTTTTGGTGTCTCGCTGCCAAAGGGGGAGAGAGTGTAGGGATTTGATTTGCTCGTTTTCGCTTCTTGTGTCGTGCTTTGCTTTTAGTCTTGTGCGTTTCTCTTGGTTTGGTTTGTTGTGAGACTTAAGTTCCCGTCATATGGTGTAAGACATATGCTACCTTAGCTATCTTATCTATGATCATGCACCTCGGTATCTTATAGCTTGCTTATCCTATCATATATGTTGTTTGCATGTATCTTTCTTAGGTTATTTGGTCTCTAAAATATAGCGGGAGCTGTGATCCTAGTGTGTGTGCCTTTCAGTCCCTAGTATTCATCTAGTTTGCACACATCCAGGGGGAGCCTATCTATATTTTAGAGGCGTGAGCACTCTTGTATTCTTTGTCATTACTTTTTTTTTGTGCAAATCCCGTATTGTCATCAATCCACCAAAAAGGGGGAGATTGTAAGGGCCTATTTATCCCTACGGTGTTTTGGTGATTGATGACAATGCATTTTGCGGACTAATCATGTGCTTTGAGTGCTTTCAGATATTCATCCTTCGGCACGGAATGATTACTTCCCTTTGGCGCTCTACTCAAGACGGTGTAGTCTATTCCGTGACCTTGTTGGTGGACTAGGTTTCGTAGTAGTCACCGTACTATCAAGAGGGGGTCCGTTTCGGTATGACTTGGGTGGAATCAACACGTACACGTTCTCTTCACTCCCTCCAATCTTTTCCGCACCTTGGGGCCTTTCTTTCCCTCCTTCCTCTGTTTGTCCTGGACCCAGCGGTAGTACCGCGGTCCACAGCGGTAGTGCGGCTGAGACCTCCTAAGCGGTAGTACCGCTCTTGGAGCGGTAGTACCGCTCCCTGGCGCGGTAGTACCGCTCCCCGAGCGGTAGTACCGCTGGGTGGCCTCAGCGGCAGCACCTCTGCGGTACCGTGCTACTGCCGCCCTGCCACTGCGTCAGCAACGGTAGTACCGCTCCTCGGAGCGGTAGTACCGCTTGCTGGGGCTCAGCCGCAGTACCGTGGTGGCATGGTGCTCCTTCCGCTTCGATTCTTGCGCACATTTTCTCGTGTCGGGTTTTGCGGTACTAGGCGCGGCAGTAGTGGCGGTAGTACTGCTCGAGAGCGGTAGTACCGCTCTACCTCCGCGGTAGTACCGCTGGGGGGGAGCGGTACTACCGCTCGAGGGCGGCAGTACCGCCCTGGGTCCCTGCCCTAGGCCTTTTCTTTTGGCGCGGTAGTACCGCTGAGGGGGAGCGGTAGTACCGCTCTTGGGCGGCAGTACCGCTCTGTCTCAGCGGCAGTACCGCCCTCTGCGGGGCTGAGTGGGGGGGTAACGGTTCACTTGTTTCCCCCACTATATAAGGGCTCCTTCTTCTCCCTCTTTGCCTTACCTCTTCCACCAACCCTCATTATTGCCCAAGCACCATTTTTTGCTCAAGCTCCATTGCATACCCCAAGCTTCCTCTTGCCCGATCTATCTCCCTAGCCAATCAAACTCGTTGATTTGCTCGGGAGTGGTTGAGAAGGCTCCGATCCACACTTCCACCAAGGGATTTTTGATTCCCCCATTCATCCTTAGCGGATCTTGTTACTCTTGGGTGTTCGTGCACCCTAGACGGTTGAGGTCACCTCGGAGCCATATTCCATTGTGGTGAAGCTTCGTGGTCTTGTTGGGAGCCTCCGATTAAGTTGGGGAGTTTGCCCCAACCTTGTGTGTAAAGGTTCGGTCGCCGCCTTCAAGGGCACCAATAGTGGAATCACGGCATCTCGCATCGTGTGAGGGCGTGAGGAGAATACGGTGGCCCTAGTGGCTTCTTGGGGAGCATCGTGCCTCCACACCGCTCCAACGGAGACGTACTTCCCCTCAAAAGGAAGGAACTTCGGTAACACATCCTCGTCTTCACCGGATCCACTCTTGGTTATCTCTTACCTTTACTTGTGCAAGCTCTTTAGTGATTATTCCCTTGCTTGCTTGTGTGCTTGTTGTTGTTGCATCATATAGGTTACTCACCTAGTTGCACATCTAGACAACCTACTTTGATGCAAAGATTAATTTGGTAAAGAAAAGCTAAAAATTGGTAGTTGCCTATTCACCCCCCCCTCTAGTCAACCATATCGATCCTTTCATCTGTGCACTCACGGCTTATAAACCGCTCATACTGCCTCTCTCTTGGCGAGGTGGAACTAAAAATCAGCTTACAAAGAAACTCTAGTACCGGTTCATGGCATGAACCGGTACTAAAGGTCTTCGTGGGGGCCCGGACCGACCATAGCCTGACACAGCCTCATTAGTACCGGTTCGTGGCATGAACCGGTACTAAAGGTTACCCACGAGCCGGTACTAATGATGCCCGCCCGCCTAGCCGGCACTAATGGTCACATTAGTGCCGGCTCAAATTCAAACCGGCACTAATGTGCTTCACATTTGACCCTTTTTCTACTAGTGCTACCAGACAACAAGGTTGTGTCTAGTGTGATGGACTCAAGCCGAGGAGTGCTCTCAACGATATAGATCACAAACTGAACCAGATTTTTTTTCTAAACAAAAGCCTATGATCCTCACCTGTCTGAGACAATCATGTCGGCACTGTGGCTTCCACCTTGGATCATCAGCGGCATTCTCACCTCCAACAATAGAATCAGGCCCCAAGAAATTCCCATCTACCTGGATATGCATATGTACATACGATCAACATTGTTTATTGATAACCCAATGTAATGTCAGCTCTAAAAGATGTGGCTTACGCGTAGGATGAATGAATCCAAGCCCGGAGAAGCATCAAGAAAGGAAACCAAAGACAGAACAGCTTGTGGTCTTTTGATGTTAATTTCCAACTTCTTGAGACGGGGAAACTTGGAGTGCAGCATTGGAATGTTGACATCCTGAAGAACGACAAGTCCACAGACTAATCACGCCTTTCAATATACATGTGTTATATACATACGAATCATTATAAACTATATACCTGCCGATATGATAATTTCATTAGCAACCGGCATGTAAAGTGTGTTAAGACCAACATAAAAATACAAGAAGAAAATAGTTCTCTTGCCATTTATTAGTTTCTTATTTGAACATTTATTCTTACCTTGAATATTGTTAAGGTGCAAGAAAACTCTCAAGGTCTTAAACATTTATTCATATTTGAACAACTATTCTTACATTGAAACTTGGAGTGCAGCATTGAAACATGTAAATGTGATATCTCTTATATGAAAGGTTAATTATCTTAATTTTAAAATATTACAAAAGCACAAAATATATAAGCCCTCATACCAATCACTGTACAGGTCGACCTAAAGCAGAAAATGCTGTTGATAATTTCAGATGATGTGCACATCTCATGGATTAATACCATGATTTTTTTGCAAAGAAGTAATACTGAAATAATTCGTAAAAATTTATTCAAGAACAATAATTCTCAGTTATACAGTGAATTGGGAGTAATATGAGACAATAAGCATAGAATGGGTCAAGAAATTCCAAACCATTGTACGAGAATTATGAAATTGGATTAAAGAGTTTAGACTGCTCAGATGGAAACTATTGTATCATAACCTATCCAGTTTATAAGTTCATACAGAATAACCTGTAAAAACCCAACGCATACCTCATCAAAAGACACCAGGGTCAGGCTCTTAACATTCCGTGTGATGGATGGAAGCCTAGTACGAGCATAAGACAGCATGCGTGACGGACGGGGAGATGAAAAATACACATCCCTAAGCGGTGAAGGATCCACAACCGAGATTTTTACTAGGGCTCCATGAAAGTGAAAAGAGGAGAGCCTTGGAGCATTGATCTCTACCACCTGCAGCTTCTCACACAATTTAATAGTGAGGAGCTTGAGTTGCTGCAGCATGGAAGGTATCTTCAAGCATATTATCGCATTGCATCGAAAGATAAATAACTGCTGCAAGGCGAAAGATTTCGAGAGCAAGTGCCCTAATCCCTCATCAGTAATCTGGACAGAAAACAGAGATAATGCGTTCAGTCTTCTCAAGCAGCCAAGTGTTGTTGTGGGACGAAAAACGCAAGCGCTGAGGCAAAGAGACCGAATTGAACCTGCAGCTGCATCATCAGAAAAAACCGAACATGGGAAGCTGTACTTTTTCTTCATGAAGTAAGACATCTCCAATTTAAGTTCTTTGATCCCCGAACGAACAGCAATCTGCAGCCATCTGTCCAGGTAGGAAGGGTCAATGTTTTCGCAAGATAGGAGGCAGAGATCGAGTGTCTCCACCCCATTGCCAGAATGGTTCTTAAGAATGCGGTCACCTATATCGATGAGAAAGATTCCCCAATCCTCGGATTTCTTGTGAGCCAAACCAAGTGTTGACACGTTGAATGTAAGGTTGGAATAGCATCTCCAGAAAAGCAGAAATCCATGGGAGACGCAGGCGGCACGAGCAGCATCTCGCAGTGGCAACAGAGAATATATATGGTGCATGATGTCCTGCAGAACCAAGGTTGAAAAGCTCAAAAGTTAGGCCGTAGCTAGTAGTAACGCTGACCTCATTTATATCGAGTAAACAACAAAATCACATATATCTCGCTTGTTAATTACTAGCTCATTTACAATGCATCAAGATCTGCTATTTCGACGAAGAGAGTGAATCAACTGGGTTATTTCTATGAAACTTTTGTCGGCAGAACTACGATGCGTAACAACAACGGCTGATTTCTTACGGAAACGTGCCAGAGACAACAAATGGATACATTGGCCAAAGGTGAAAACTAGTCTTTTGACGAATACTCCCTCTGTTCATAAATATAAGTCTTTGAAGAGATTTCACTATGAAACGCGAAACACATACAGATATATATAGATGCATTTTAGAGTGCAGATTCACTCATTTTACTTCATATGTAGTCCATAGCGAATCTCTACAAAGACTTATATTTAGGAACGGAGGGAATACTATATTATAATTAGGTGTGTATGCATGTGTTAGCCAATGCATACTGTGCTACCAGGGAAGGGAAGCATACCACGGGGAATTTCTCAAACGCATCTTCTGAAGACCTTGATCGACTATCTGCAATGACATGGGCCTTGTAAGTAGTACGTATTTCATAATGTGAGTCGAATCTTGCAACATAAATTATCAGTGAGGTTAAGAAACGGTGATTCCTTTTTAATCAAATTATTAAGCGGTGACATTCTAAAATACACTGAAATTGTTTATTCGAGCTCTTGCAGTACTAGCTTACTTGTAGTTGCGGCATTTATCAGAATCTCCAAAGCTGAAGTGAGACTTCATAAATGGCATCTTAGTCTTTTGCACACTCTAGGCTGGCCGGTTTGGGGCGCCCTAGACAAGGGTGAGAAACTGACACGACCGTCAACAAAAAGTTTTTTTTTTGCGTGTAGTCACAAAAAAGCGGACGTGAATTTTTGGGACATGCAGCCAAGCACTGCCGTAATCCCGGGCGTCCGAGTGTGCGTCATGATTGCTATTTATTATAGGCCCAGTTGAAATACATGACACGTTAATTACCAACATTTGCGAATACGTCGTGCTATACACACTGTCAATGGACTAGGTGACATTTATGATGGTATAAATACACTTTGTCTGTTAGCGACCCACGCGCATGCCCCATTTGATGGCATAACTGCTTGTGGCTCGCACTGTAGATCTCCTCCAAGCCGTCTACTGTGTAAAAATAAAAACAGAAGCAGGGGAGGAGATGGGTTCTGCACAGACAGAGGTCAGGTTAGCCCATCCTAGCCATTATCTGATACGTTTGTTCTTGTTTTCTTTGCCTACGAGCTTACACGTCCATCTTTAATCATCTCTCGCGCGCCTCAATCCTACAGTATTACAACTTGGTCTCATAGGTGTTCCGCTGCTCAATGCTTTCAGGAAAAGGAGAGTTGCGATGCCAGATGAGAGGTCAAGAAGCATTGATAGCTAGGGTGACAGGTTTTGCAAAGATGGGTTCAGAAACGGTGGTAACACCATCTGTTGGTTTGACATTTGACATTTGGGTGCCATAATTGGATGCAGGGCACCTGGGTGTAATTGATGCGCGCTAGGCTGTTTTAATTAGCCATAACGCGAGTCAGCTGTTCAGTCGTGAGTCATTGCCGTTTGATGGGTGCGGTGCAGGCGTAGCGCGTGGCAGATCTTTTTTTCGGGATGTTAATGCCTGGCGTATTTACATTTGTTTTGCATGGTATTTCACGATTAGCGTTGGCCTGATTATGTAAAACTCCATGCACATTCACATCAAAATAAAAAACTCCATGCACATAACCGTTTGAAATGCATTATTGGTAGGCCAGCCTGCTGCGTAAGTAGGACGCATCATGTACTAGCAGATACATGCGATGCAGAAAAAACACTGAAAAAGAATATGTGGAAACTACAGCTATCCCAACACACGGGAAAAGAGTTTGCCCAAGATCATGGCCATGACCAGCAGGTTGGCGATGTGGTGTGATGCCCGAGGAGTGGAGCTCAGCTGGAACTTGGAGACTTGGATGAACACATGGTCGGAAGCTGCGGCGAGACTGAGAGAAATGGAGAAGAAGCAGTGAGAAGAAGGTTGGGCGGCAGCGAGAAGCAAGCACGAAGTTTAAAAAGACGGTGGGGAGCGCCCATGTGGTGGAGCTAGCCGTTGGGACCGGGAGGCAATGAACGCGCACCTCACTTCAATGCGTCGGCCTGCCTTGCCGGCCATCTCCTGCCGGTGTCAGTTGCAAATACGAGGGCTATACCAAGATGGTATATGGTATATCAGCCTTAAGTATTGGAGTCGCACGAATCGCATGGTAATATGCGGTGTGGATACCGACCGCGTGTGACTGCATGTCCACTCGTGATTTATTGTGAAAAAGCTATCTAATCACATCTACGATACATAAAACTAACAGAAATCAGGGATCTGAAGTTGGTCGAGGGGGAAGGAAAACAGAGGCCGGAGCCAGGGAAGACGGTCGGTTTGGTGAACAAAACAACGGCGGAAGGATAGAAGCCGGCGGGCGTGTCGGTGAGCTTACATAGGGCTCGATTGAGAATACTTGAGAGAAAGAAGAAGAGAGTGCGTACTTGCACAGAAGAGCTCCCGCAGTCGCTGCTTCGCGCTGCGGACGGCGGCGTAGATTCCTATGGAGAAGGCCCTGGCGCCGACGGAGAACGGCGGAATCGTTTTGCTTCCAAGTTCGATCGATCCAGAAGACCACCGGTGCGGCTCGGCCTTATACACGGACGGACAGTCCAGACACGGCCCGGGCCGAAGACAATCACCAGGAAGACCTTTTTTTCTTTTTCTTTTAGGCAAATCAGAATCACTAGTCTTTTTTTTTTAGGTGAACTAGGGATTTTATTCAACGTTCAAAGCCGAAGCAATACAAACAATGTCTGGTAGAACCTCTAGTCACAACCGGCGACCGGGAGGGAAAGCTGAAGCCGCCTTGGCAATGGCGTGTGCTTCAAGGTTTGCTTCCCTACACTCATAGCGAAAACTAACTTTTACAAACTTATTCATCGATGCCCTAACTTCATCTATGATTAGTGCATAAGATGATAACGTTCTTCCATTGATGTCGGATACCACCTGCATGCAATTAGATGCTACTATCGCATGTGAGATATGAAGATCTCTCGCCAGAGCTAGTGCCTCGTTACACGCGTGGGCTTTCAGACTTGGCGCATCCATAAGACCATCAAAAGTAACAGCTGATGACCCCATGTAGTTGCCGTGCTTGTCTCTGCATATAGCAGCCGCAACCCCCACCTTACCCGATCTTAAGATTGCACCATCCACATTAATCTTCACTGCGTCTTCTCCCGAAGCAATCCAACGATGAACACGCTGCGTAGGGGGTTTTGCAATGAGCGTTTCCCTCCTCGTAGTAGCAATGTCCAGGTCTTCCAAGTAACGGTTGATGAAGCACATCGTAGATAGAGGACTATCAGAATCACTAGTCCGGACACGGCGCTGGCCCTCACGCCCCATCGCTATGGGCCAGCCCAGCAACGGTAGGCATTCTCGCACGCTGTTGCTCACGGCGACGCCTTGCTTGCTCGCTCGGTTAACCAGTTCACTTCCCCTAAAAAAAGGTTAACCGGTTCACTACACCCCAAAAAAAGGTTAACCGGTTCACCATTTGACCATTGACTTTAGGAAAATATGAACTAAAAAAACCATAATTTTTTAAAAGTACGCTGACATGACTGTTGACCTTTCCAAAAGTGTTCATGAGTTTGAAAATTTCCATGTATTTCAAAAAGCTCCCAGTCGTCTCCGTCACAGACTCATCGTCGCATCTCAGCGTTGTCGCCCCCGAGCCCATGTTGCCGTCGTCTGTCTTTGTGGGAAGGGGGCATGGCACCGTTTCTCCCTGCTCGTTCATTGGGTAGGAAACTTTCGCTTTTCCGCATCTCTGTCTCCTCATGGTTGTGGCGGTTCATGGCGCCGAGGCCACCACAAGGGGTGTAGCCTCTGGGCGACAATGGTGGGTATGTCGTGCGCGTCATCGCCGTAGGCATTCGATCTTGTCTATATATCCAACTAGCTAGGCGCCGGCGACGGGAGGGTTTGAAGAAGACGGCAATTAAGGCGGCGCGATGTGGTGGGCGTGCACTTTTTCTTTTTTCTTTTGTACAGGACACAGGTGCACGCGCGCGATAATGAAGTGCATGCATGCAAATGCAAGGAACGAAAGTGGAGACCTGGATCCGGACGGCCTGAGCAGGAGAAACGACCCTTTGCACGCGGTTTGCGTTGCGGGAACACGAGCGGGCGTACGTATGACGATTCCATCCAAGCCGAAACGTGGCCAAGGGGCGTCCGTGGCGCACCAGCTGCCATCGAATCCGAATCCAAACGTGCGCTGCGCAAGAGGATTTCCTCGTTTTGTTTCGGATTTGGATTTGGAGACGCACCGCACCCAACAACCGGCGCCTCCTCCGATTCAGACTCTTCTTGTTCGTTTCTTGCCCAGGACGGCCTCCGATCGAGCTCTCATATATAGCCACCCCTATCAACCATTGGTTGCCATACAAGCCCCTCGAGCGCTCGCAATGGCGCACCACGTCGAGCACCTGCACTCGGCAGAAGCCGTTGACGAGGCCATCTTCCGCGAGGCCGAGACCAAGCGCCTGGTAATCGTCCGTTTCGGCCAGAGCGCGCACGCTGACTGCCTGCGCGTGGACGCCGCCATGGCCGCCGCTGCCGAGCGCATCGGCCCCGTAGCTGTGCTCTACGCCGTCGACATCGACGAGGTACAGGACTTCAACGTCATGTACGAGCTCCACGTGAGGCCTTGCACCGTCATGTTCTTCTACGGGAACTCGTGCGTCGACGTACGCGGCCCCTGCTGTAGGGACGACATCGTGTGGGCCGCGTACGGCGGCGATGACTTCGCCGGCATTATCACGGCGGTGCACGAGAGAGCCAGGGCTGGGCGCCGCCTCGTCGTCCTCGGCTAGCTAGGAG